GTTACAGTAAATATTTCTTCCGTTCATCAATCTTCTTTTTCTGTCCAGGTGCGCAGCCAGTGGCGCAGCCAGTGGCGCAGGTGATGCCAAGACATGCGCACGTGCCTGGAGCGATGCGGGCGCTACCTACGTCCATGTCCCGGGCTCGAGACCTGCACCATCCTGCACCATCCTGCTGCGTGACCTGCGTGATCTGATCAGTTTTGACGCGTCATCCCGAAGTTTGCCAGGCCAGGCTCCGGGTGGCAAGCTCGAGCTGGACAGCAAGTTGCAATGGCCCAGGTGCCTTGCCATGAATTTCCTACATTTGCCTACTTCATCCTACTTGGATGTGCATTTCAGTCTGTCAGTGGTTTATAAGTCACTCAGCAAGCGTCCAAATTTTAGTTTTTTTTTGGTTGGGCTCGCGCGCACAAAGGTCTCCATTTTATACCCAAAAATCGCGCGCGAACCCAACCAAAACAATATGTTTTTTTGCACGGAAACCCGCTGAGTAAGATAGCAAAATATATGTTGTATTATTCATTTTCTTTGGGAATATTCCATGTATAGCTGGGGTATACTGGGGTCTAATCTGCTTATGACTCACCTACTAAGTGGGATGCACCCCCAAGAGGGGCCTAGATACAGCATGGACAGCTTCAGCACAGAGACGGTGAAAACAAAAAAGGAGCGGTTGCCGACCGTGGCAGGTGCCAAACGTAGCCCTGCCCAGGCCGCGCTTCAATAAAGATACCCGATGCTTGCTCCCAGCTGAGATCTAGGAGCTCCAGCCCCTGGGGTGCATGGCTATTTTTTTAGCTTTTTAGTAAAAATGACGATAGGTCCCTTGATTTTATTTGCAGACATGCTAGATTTTATCTCGATCATAAGTGTGAGATAAATTCCAAGGGGCTAGACCCCTCATAGGTCACTTCAAGGGTACTCGCTTCCAAAGAGGACCCAAGGGGGGGTCCAGCCCTTGGATTTTATCTCATTCCAATTTCAGGTCAGGCACCTTGATTTTATCTTTGGAAGGTTGGGCTCTTTGAATTTTATTTTCATCCTACTTGAGGTTTGGTACCTATCTTATTTTCAGATGTCATCCCTTTCAATTTAGGTCCAACCTGCACCTTTGATTGGAAAGGAAGAAAAAAACATCCTTGATTGATGGAATCCCCTGCAAAACTGGCATCAAACTGTAACAAAGGTGCATGAAAATTATTTTGCTGAGCACTGCTGCCATGTTTATCAAACTCACCGTTAAACATTTCCTCACCTTGAAACCTTATTGCTTTTGAACTTTCAGGTCCAGAGATTGAATTTGACCCAAACAAAAGGGTTGCCAAATCTTGCATTCCCACTTCGATCCTTGTGATGTGCGGGGGCCTGTCCATAGATTATGCAAGCACCGACAAACTTGATGCTTTTCATCCTGGAATGCTAAGTAATGCTACAGTAGTAAGTATTTTGGGCTGGTAAGCCAATGGACAGGCCGGTCTCTGACCGAACTAGCTTGACCGCAGACATGTTTTAGTCATTGGAACTTGATCTTTCGGCACTGGAGACCAGACATGTTTGGCTTCTCTGTGAGGTACGACCCAATTTGCAGTGCCAAAAAGCTGGGGCATTGCGCTACCAGCTTTGCCGGAGGCTTCCATGTAAGCGAAGCACTGCAAAAAGTCGCAGATTTGTGCATGCTTTGGGCTTCTTCCGATCCTTGAAACTCAACCGGTGCAAGTTGTAGCTTACTGCCACTGCCATGAAGCAAACCGGGACAGATGGAGTACGACAGCTGCCTCGGCTCTTGGCTCCAATTTCTGAGACCTGAAAACAGCAATGTGAAGTGACCCCAACTTGATTGGTTGCTACACGTGATCAAAAGCGGATCCAAGGATGACTAGGGGGCTTCAAGTTTCATGTGAGTGCTTTTTTCATTCAAAAATAAGATGGTAACTTAAGAAACAGCCCACAATACTGAAGCATCCGCAAAGCGAGAAACTCCAGATTTGATGGCTTGGCAGCTGGCTGTGACACCTAGCAAGTGTTGAAATTAAAAACTTGAGTGTCAACAAGCCTGGTTGCTTGTTGATGATGAATTCTATAGCATATTATTATCATATTATAGCATATTACTGACAGTATATAGCATATTATAGCAGATTACAACATATTATCATCTATCATCACACTAGACTCAGATCTACCTGGTGCAGCTGCGACACTGCTTCCCTGTGCCCAAATGGACGCCCTCGGATTTCAGCCGCAGGGACGGCGGGCGAGGAGGTCACTCAGCATGGTCTAGTTGATAGAATGGTTTTGACCATGAATTGAATATGTAATGTAAGTATTATCATTAATACAATATTGATTAGTTACCAGTAGTACCGCACAAGGCGGTGGCGGAAGTTTCAAAAAAGGAAGCCTATAGGAGAGATTGGTTGTTGTGAATCACGGATGGCAGAGCGAATCCATCGATGGACCGAAAGGTGCTTCAGGTCCCCTCTCTTTCTCTCTCTTT